TCCAATCCCAAAAGAACAATCATCAAAAATCACAATTTTAGCCATGATAAACTGATTTTAATAAATTAACCAAATATTACACGTTCATAAATTCCCAGAAAAGCATACATCATCATACTCATACTATTATAGCCGAATTATCCATAAAATTTCAGAAAGAAACTCAAATCATAGCACAAACCCTAATTTATACAATATAGGGGCAAAATAGTAATTTTGGTTGCAATAGTCCTTACCTCGAGGCTAGTAACGAATCCTAAACGTCAAACCTAGTTTGATGGATCATTCACACGTACCTAGGAAGTGATAGGTTCGAAGGATCTCAATTTAGGAGAGAAATTTAGGAAACGGATGAACGACGCGAATTAGGCAACAAACGCACTTACCGGAATATTGGATTGTTTGATCTCATCATTGGCATAAAATTTCGTGCTGGATACGTTAATATTGAAGAGCTGGAAGGGATAGAGCTTGAAGAGGCGGTCCTAGGGTTTTTGGAATGAGGAAAATCTGATTAGGGATGTATTTATAGTGAATTTCCGAAGTTTGAGTTGCATTAGGATACAACAGGAACGCACGCGTGCGTACCTTCCACGCACGCCGTGCCTGACCCCAAGACGCCCCAAACCTTAGGTTTTGCCCCGTTTCTTCCCCATTTGGACCTCCCCTTTGTCCCAAACACTAAACCAAACAAAATAAACGACCTAAAGACCGTGTAAACATTATGAAACACAATTTTAATTATTTCCCAAATTCTCTCAAATTTTCGGGGTATTACATTCTCACCCCCTTAAAGGACGCTTCGTCCCCGAAGCTCAAGTCAAAACACAGTCGAGATGAAACACTCAAGAAAATACCTTATCAAAAGGGCTCTAGATATAGAATACCAAGAGTTTACTTACCTCAACCACGTTCCTATGGGTTGCCATAGTTCTTACAAAAGAGAGACGCAAAGTTCAGAATACTAGGAACTCTTACAGATCCCTACCAAGTTCTACCTAAGATCACAAGATATAGGATACTAGGAATATACTCATAACTATTCTCAATTTTACTAACTCACAATATACTCTAGGATAAGGAACACCTACAAGCAACCATCGGAAAAATTCCATTCAATTCACAAATCTCAAATCAATCCAAGACATCACAAAATACAACAACAAAAAATCAATCACACAATCTCACACGCGCCTAAGCCATAAAATTCCTCCCTAATAAGATTCATTAATCCTAATTAATGAAAATAATATTTCAATTCAAAAAGTTTTTTTTTGAAAATCTTTAAAAGATTTTGAAAAACAAAGGCTCTGATACCAATTTGTAATACCCCCCATTTTCCCCAACCAAAAATACATTCAAATAATGATTTATTCAAAGGAATTATCAACTTTATTTGAAAACACCAGAGATACAGCGGAAGTCTTAATAGGGAAATGGGTGTTACCGCCACACTCGGTTCTCACATAACCGAATGCACAGGCTAAACCACCATCCAAAAATAATCCAAGTATTTAAGTACTGAAAATTTCAAAAATAATTTAAATGTCTACATGTTCTCAAACTGAAATAAACAATAACTAGGTGATTATAAATACTAAACTACGTGATCTAACGCAGCTCTCATCATCATGCATAACCTTCATCACCTGCACAATTAAAGTGCACAAAACAAAACAACGAAAAGGAAACAAAAATTAGCTTTTTAGCTAAAGTAAGGCCCACCCAACCCCGTAAAATAATCACGTTTGGCGAAAATAGTTTTTCATATAATACTATATAAAAATGACACACTCCACCAAAATACTTTTCTCTTTGATTTTTCTTAAAATCACTTCTTTACTAAAATCCTCAACTTCTCTTGGAAAATATCATAGTAATTCTTCTCTTTAAATTTCGTAAGAAAATATCTTTTTCACTAACTTCCTAGTAATTTAGAAGGGCGGTGCTCAATCTTTCGGTTGAGCCCGGTGGACCGTGGTTACGGACGGCCACCCCGATCAAGTGTCGGTACCACAACTGCTCTTGCGGAAACGAAACGACTACCTTAAGTGTGCACACCCCCTAAAAGGGATTCCAAGCCCTCCGAGTAGTAAGTCATCCCGAGTGGTCGGAACCCAACCACCCCACCTTTAAAATTCTTTAATGATTAGTGACTACTACTATAACTCTGCTTCTTAAAAGGGATCATCGATCCAATTATCACTCAAAACTTATCCTCACCCTTAGCAGTAGCAGCCCTTTTACGTCGGAACTACTACTACTACCACAACTCTCCTTAAAAGGGATCATCGATCCAAAAGTTACTCAAAAATCTCTTCTTAGTAGTAGCCGCTCTAATCACCATCCACATTTATCCGGATGTGGAAAACCGACACCGCGGATTTCTCCCGCGATGCTCACCTTTTATGAAAACGTAAATTTTATCTTGGCTTTAGATATACTTCTAAAAAAATATTTCTCAATCTCTCTAAATAATCTGAAAGGTATTTAAAAATATTTAATACCCCAAAAAGCACTCTTAATTTATATTTCTCAACTACCATATATATAATATCTCCTCAAAATCACATACACAAAATTCACAATTCACACTTAATCACATAATGCATATTAAGCATATAATACGAGGAAACAATTTCGGATTGGCAGATAAACTTACAATTTAGGGTTTATCCAAAACTAGTTCCAAAATAGTATTTAATATCATATTCAAAATAATCCAATAAGGATATTTATAACTCCAGAATATATATGTAAATTTTCATACCAAATTATACATTTAAAAATATATAATTTATCCCAAAAGATTTGATCTCACAACACTTTCCAAAAAGAGGGTTTAACCCAAACAACCACTTCCCAAAAGTAGCATTTACTACTACCACCAAAATAATCAAATTGGAGTATTCTAAACCCATAATATATTTTCAATATAACCAGTTATAATAGTCTCAAATCATTCTTCAAATCATACCAAAACAATCACCAAAATTTTCCAATCCCAAAAGAACAATCATCAAAAATCACAATTTTAGCCATGATAAACTGATTTAATAAATTCACCAAAAATTACACGTTCATAAATTCCCAGAAAAGCATACATCATCATACTCATACTATTATAGCCGAATTATCCATAAAATTTCAGAAAGAAACTCAAATCATAGCACAAACCCTAATTTATACAATATAGGGGCAAAATAGTAATTTTGGTTGCAATAGTCCTTACCTCGAGGCTAGCAACGAATCCTAAACGTTAAACCTAGTTTGATGGATCATTCACACGTACCTAGGAAGTGATAGGTTCGAAGGATCTCAATTTAGGAGAGAAATTTAGGAAACGGATGAACGACGCGAATTAGGCAACAAACGCACTTATCGGAATATTGGATTGTTTGATCTCATCATTGGCATAAAATTTCGTGCTGGATACGTTAATATTGAAGAGCTGGAAGGGATAGAGCTTGAAGAGGTGGTCCTATGGTTTTTGGAATGAGAAAAAACGGATTAGGGATGTATTTATAGTGAATTTCCGAAGTTTGAGTTGCATTAGGATACAACAGGAACACACGCGTGCGTACCTTCCACGCACGCCGTGCGTGACTCCAAGACGCCCCAAACCTTAGGTTTTGCCCCGTTTCTTCCCCATTTGGACATCCCCTTTGTCCCAAACACTAAACCAAACAAAATAAACGACCTAAAGACCGTGTAAACAATATGAAACACAATTTTAATTATTTCCCAAATTCTCATCAAATTTTCAGGGTATTACAGAAAGCTTCCATCGCAGATGGCATGTCCCCGAGACTCGGCCCGAATATATCCTCCCATGTCCAGCCCAGGCCAAGTTCGTCACCGCCGCCATACATCTTACTCGCTTCCTGCCGCTCGTAATCAAAGACAACCTCAATCACGAGTTGATAGAGACAAGGGATGACAAACAGATGAAAAAAATTGGACAGACAATTCGTTATATGCACAGGCATTTTCATTTAGGAATAAAGGGGAGAGGAGAAAGGGAGTGGGGTGGATTAATTCAGAAGTGGGGTGGGTTAGAAAAAGGGGGTGGGGGTTTTTATTTTGTGTACAGATAACGAATATACTATCTTGTCAATTATCAAAGTACTTCTTCCGTTCTTAAATAAGTGCAACAGTCAACATTTCACACTTGCCGAGACACAACTTTGACCATTAATATATATAATTCTCTATTAGTAAAAAATTTAAAAAAATCAGTTTTTAAAAATTTACAATGAGACAAATTTAAGAATATATTTTTCAAAAAAATATATTAATACATCAATAAATAAAATGTAGTCAAAGTAGAACATGTGAATAGTGTAAAATTTCACATGTTGTACTTATTTAAGAATGAAGGTAGTATCATTTTGTAGACTTGTAGAGTTTTGACAATATCGAATTGTAAGTTGGAGTACGGAGTATTACATTAATACGGAGTATATTGATATATCTATAACTAATAATACTAGCCTTTTTATTAAAAAATGATGCCCCCTGTGGGGGTGGTGCCCTAGGCCATTGCCTAGGTGCCTGCCCCCCATGGCCGGCTTTGTTGATGACCTCCATTTTCGACTTATCAGTCAGTTTTTTCATCAAACATGTAACTTTTGATTTTGCACGTTGAATTATGTAATAAGCAGAAAAAACAAGGTTGAAGTTACTTTTTTGCCTGTATTGACTGAAGTTACTGTTGAAGATCGTTTTAGCTATTTTTTCATATAATTTTTTATTTTATTTGTTAATAACAAATATTTTTAAATATAATTTTTTTATGAATCAGCAGAATCGGTCAATTAAGCGACTTCAACCAGAACTTCATAAATTTCAGCAGAATCAACCAATTCAGCCAATTTTAGTGTTACCAAACAAGCTCTTAATTACTTTTGGAAAATGCATAGTTAAATTGCAATTATGATCAAACCTTATGGCGTGATAGTAATTTGTAATTTCCCCCTATGAAAAATTAGGCCGCACATAATACCGGCCACCGGGTATTATGCAGCCCACCAACGGCCCAATGGTCGATTTCTGAGTCTTTTAACTAAAACCCTAGTCGGAATAGTCAGTATAGCACAGAGTAGGCCCTCGTGAACCGGAGAACGGAGGACATATTCACCGTTCTCTATTACTTTGCGTCTCCCTAGTAGCGGTGTTGAATCCAAGGAGAATTTTTCAGTAGAAAAATGGCAGACAAGGCTGTGACTATCAGAACTAGGAAGTTCATGACCAACCGCCTTCTCTCGAGGAAACAATTTGTGAGTCCTCAACATTGTTAGTTAATGCATACCTACATACATTTTAATGTTATCTACTTATACTGGGTTGGCTGAATCGTTGTTTGAATTTTGGCGAGCTAGGTCATTGACGTACTTCATCCTGGAAGAGCCAACGTCTCGAAGGTTCTTCTTACTGTTTTTCTCTTTACGATTGAAGCTTGGTATCCCAGTTTTTGTTCTGTTTTTATTACTAGGTTGATCATTAATCTGACGGCGAGAACTTAGTTGTAAATCTGATAGTGTTAATATACTGTTGAAATGTTCAAAAATGACTTTCAGCCAAAGTTCAGCGAACTGTTTCGGTCATTTTGTCACTCTTTTGTATCTATATTGAAGGCTGATTTGAAGGAGAAGCTGGCAAGGATGTATGAGGTTAAGGATACCAACTCCATTTTTGTCTTCAAATTCAGGACCCACTTTGGAGGAGGCAAATCAACAGGGTTTGGCTTAATATATGATTCAGTCGAGAACGCAAAGAAATTTGAGCCGAAATATAGGCTGATTAGGGTGAGCATTTTTTTTGAATTTTCCTATCTTATCTGTATATTTGGGAGAGTTGATTAATTTTCTACATACCAGAGTTTCATTTGCTTATTTGATTTGTGCATTTATGTTTCTTATGGACTAATATTAAAGCTTTGTAGGGTGCACAGTTTACCTAAACATAGCTACATTTGCCAAGTATGGCGACCAAATTGTTTTTCACAATAGAACATTCATTTAGTCTTTTACATAAGGCCGATATTAGCTACTAATATTAACCCTTTCATATTTCCATTTCGACCGTGACTCTGTGAGCCCCTTCTAACACTTCTTCACTCAATAATAATGTTTCTAAGAGCCGCCATACCTTTTGACACGAACACCATCAATCCATTTACGTCTGTCTATTGGAGCAGACTGTGAAGCCCTAGGATTCCAGATTTTATGGTTCTGCCGCACACCTTCTCTAGTTTTAATGTCATTGGTCAATTGGTGATAAGAGCCACTTGATTCCCTGGCAGCCATGGTCTTGTTCAACAAATCCAGCCATGGACTCCATGGTGTAAAGATCATTGAATGCAGTGTTGTTAGACATTAACGTATTGAGATATGTAGTCTGGGGCAAACGTTAGACGTTGGAGATTCAAGGCTATGAGGTGCACTGGACATTGTTAGGAAGAGAAAATTGTCACATTTGGCAGTATACGGGGTGACATGCAGGACATTAAAGGTGACAATGTTGGACATTGACTGCTGCAGGGCTTGGCATATGGCTTGGCTAGTGAATAAGTGAATTCATGAGTTTTAGTTTTTAGGTCAATATGTGTGGATAGGGGTAGTTTATTATCATTTAAGGGAGCCTCAATATTTTTGGCGAAATGAATATAACCACAGTATTGAACAGGTTAAGTAATACTTTGTCGCTGATTGCAACACATGCTGTTCTTGTAGTTGTCAACAAGAATTATAAAGGATGTTTTAGGACGAGTGGCTTTAAATAGGTGAGGCAAGGCAGTAGCGTCAAAGCAGTTTGGCATGTTTAGAATTCTTGCATGTCTAGTGGCCCGTTCTATTTTAGCAGGCAAGTATCATTCATGTTTGGAAAATAAATAAGATACATAGTATAAGATAAGAGACTTTGAGTGTATTGGTGTATGGTTTTCTTGTGGGATTACTCAATGAAGTGATTGAAATTTAGCAACCACAACATGAACATGAGCTGGCTTTAACTTTAGAACAACAACATTACAATGAACACACTCATTAATATGAAGTTTATGTCTAAAGAATCCCTAAAAGGATGACACTCCATACCTTAGGGACCCTAGAACCAATCGGACAAGCATCTGGGAGGATGTAAATTGAACTTTGATCACACATTGGTGGAAAGAGTGAGATTTAGCCCAAGTCTTTGTTTGGAGTTGAACTTGGGACCTCTCCCTTGTGGCACCCTCCCACTAGGGTGCTACACCCCTTGACGTAATGTCTAAAGAATCCCTAATCAGTGATGTTAATAGCTGCGCTATCGTGCGCTATAGCAGGTGCGGAGCGGAGGACTAGGCTGGCGGCCTGGCGCTACCAGATGACATGTAGCGTCGCATTTGGGTGTAGATGATATATTGCAGCCGCGCTATTCTGGTGAAGGCGGACGCTATAGCGGCGCATGTTTGGAATCTAAGTCCTGCTAGGTTATCTGCGTATAATTGTTTTTTACTGGAAGGGTAAATTCATCTTTTAAAATAAAATATTAACCAGTTAAAACCCTTATACACATGCGTAGAAGTGCAAACGCTTACAAACATCCCCATCTGTTGAAAATACTCCGTATCTCATTCTTTTGCGGCACTGGGGTAAATGAAAATGATGATACAAGTATGATAATTAAAATCATTGTCCAAACTAGGGGTGGGCACGGTCTGGGTCGGTTCAGGTAATTGATAAATTTTCAAGAACCGTCGGTTCCATGTAACGGGTAGGTCCGGTCCTGGTATACCAAGATTTCAAACAGGAACCGAACCTTACCTGCCCCCTTTGAAACAGGCCGGTTCGATCCGAGTCCTCGCTTCTTTTTTTTGTAAACAAAATACATCTATGCAAGCAAAGTTTCTAGTATAAGTTGTAAAATTCTCAAATTAATTACGTATTAATGTAACCATAATATAGCAAACATTCAAAATATCGAACCACAAATCTATAAATTAAACAACACACAACCAACTTAATTAAAATGTCAATCATCATTCATAAACCAATTAAATAGATAGCACCATAAATTAAAATTATATGAAATTAAACTAGTTACTATACATATTTGTATATGAAAACACTTTAAGACAAATTAAATCTCCAAGTATAAGTAAAACTAAGATAATTAAATGAATGTGTCACACTTCATTGAGTAAGAGTCTTTGTTTACAAAAATTAAAAATTAAAAAACGAAAGTTGATGCATTTGGAATAGAGAATAGAGGAAAATAATATAGGTGTTTAATTATACGGACTTGGAAAACTATTTTTAATAGACTTAGAAGTTTCTTTAATTGGAAGTCTTTGTCTAGACACAAGAACATGAAGAGATTTCGTGTGTTGTTAATACTTTATATTATACTGGTATTAAATATAATAGGGATTATTAAAATAATATTTTAAAATGGTTCGGTTCGGCTACCCGTTTTTTCAAATTTTAAGACCCGTTCGGTTCTTAAGTTTTTAGAACCCGCCCCGCCCCAAGCCGTTTGCGTTTCTTAAAATTAGGACCTGACCCTAACCTGCCCTGAACCTGTATTACCTGGCCCGAACCGCGGTTCCAGTACCTGTTTGCCCACCCCTAGTCCAAACCTTACCATCATTGACAAAATAAGTCAATTTCGGAAACTTTTGTGGGACAGAGGTAGTAATTCATTGGGAAAATGTTCTATCCATGAAATAGGTATAATATAAATTGGGACCTAACATCTTTACTGTGGCGTGTTTATATAGAGATAGACAGATAAGAGGGGGTTGGGGTAAATTAAAAAAATGTAGGTGGTTAAGACACCAGCCATGGATTTTAAAATAAAAGCTCTTTATTGTTTTGAAAGTGATGTATATACTGTTTGGATACCCATAATGTATGGTGGTGTAATTGGTGAATTTGAATTTGATGTGCAACCTATTGTTTAACATCAATTAAAATTTTATTTTAGGATGTTTTACTTGGACTGTAATTCCTCCCAGATCAGACCAGACCAGACTTGGATAGTTATAAAAATACAAAGAAACCAGATCAGACCAGACCATACCAGCGAATTACAGTCCAAGTAAAAACATCCTTAGTACACACAAGAAAATTGTTTTTAAGAATGTACTCCAACTCAAGGTGTCTTGAATGAAAAAGATTTATCGTTTTACATCTTGTACTTTTAAAAGTTAAAAGAGTAAATCACTCTATAGAATGAAAAATAACCCCTCTTTTTACCCTCCAGAACATACCATACCCTTAATGTACTTTCCGTACCTGTCAACCTGTGATATTTACAAACTATTCAACCAATTTTGCAGAATGGGCTGGATACCAAGGTTGAGAAATCCAGAAAACAAATGAAGGAGAGGAAGAACCGGTCCAAGAAAATACGAGGTGTAAAGAAGGTATGGTACCATATATTATATGTGGACCAAGTTGTATTTCCAATTGTTAAGTTTCTAGCTTTTCTATGGCTTTGAAATCATCTCTGACCTCATGCTAGAGCTAATAGTATTATTACTTCATATTCAGACAAAGGCTGGAGATGCAGCAAAGGCCGGAAAGAAGAAGTGATCAACGTCACACTTGTCATGTTTTGGTTTTTTCTTTCCTTTTTGGAACACGTTTTGGGTATCTTGCCATTCAATCATCATCCGATCTTTTCAAACCAATCATTTAGACACATTTGGATTCTAATATCAGGCTAAAAGTAGCAGATTTGTGGTGGTGCGTTTAAGGATAAACGGGCAATGCATGGGGTTAGATATATCATACCTGATACCCCCTATATGTTATGAGCTTGTTTACAAATTACAATTGTTTTGCTAATCACCATTCTCAGCATCCATTTCTATTATTACGATGCCAGAGTCCTTGTGATTTAAAGGATTTGGGTGGAGGGTTGGATGTCATTGTTTTGATTGGCTTGGGCGACAAGCCAACAATGAAGGTGAGGTTAACCGTTTGTGCTTCACCTCTTTTTCCTCTTTATAACAAACGGTTTTGTTACCCCCAAAATAGAATCAGAACTGGAACCATTGTATCACTTCGATTCCTCTCTACTCCAGTACTCCCTACTTGGAACTGGCCAATGCTGAAGTGCTGAACTTTAGCTTTATTCCCAAACTTCCTAAACACAATCTCTGCTTACTTTTTTTAATCTATGGTTATTTGAGTATATGACAAATTATATTTTATTTAAATTTGATTTTTTGAGAACATCTAGCATAAACTGATCTACTTTTGAATGTCATTCAAATTAATAAAAATGCATTTCATGAATTTCAAGTTTCCTATTTTTGTATTACCCGTTCAGGCGTCAATGGTACTATGTTTCTGTAACTTGTATAGTTGGTTTCACTCTCACTGAGGTCATGTAGCTGCGTTTTTAGTCTATTTAGGGATGATGACAATTAATTACGTTGCACAAAAAACGAAAAGAAGATAATCATAAGATTCAGTAAAATTGGGTCTACATTGCCTAGTATCACTTATTTAATGAAGGTTCTAAAAGTGGCAGAATGGTAAAGTAAACATATTTTGCAAGACCAGACACTTACAATGGTAAAAGAATAAGAATAGAGACGTAATCAATTCAATCATCAGTACAAACAAAAGAAACAAATAGAAAAGTAAACGAAAACAATATCAAATGACAAAACAAACCACTAATGCAGCGGACCAGAGAAAGCTTAAATAGAATATGATCTAGCAGGAAAAAGTGCCCAGGATGCTGCCTGCTGCGAAGAGGAAGAAACTTAGAATATTGAATGGAACTGCCATGTGGCAACCAGCCGATGCGGAATCAGTTGGGGATGGAACTGCTTTTGATCCTGTTCCATTATGAGTGTTAGAACATTCTGAATTAGCTGAAATTTAAGATAAAAATCAGGCAATTGAGGGAATGTTGACTGAATCTATAAGATACCTGATGTTGGTGTGGCGGATCCTGATGGTGTTGTGGTCGTTTCTGTGCTCGGTGGCGCTCCAGAACCCACGGGAGAACTTGGTGGTGGTGGTGGTACTGCAGCTGAAGCCGTTGGTCGTCCGCTCCCACCTGTTTCAATTATAATACGGTCATAACAAACTTACCCTATAAAATGGAAGCTCTAACTCGACTTTGAGCTTAACGAGTTTCGGTTCTTAGAATACGATCCTAATTTAAAATTGGAGTATTATTCATACAAACTGCAAAGTGAAGCATATTCACGTTCAGTTTGATAGTATTTTGGACGCTATTGAAAATGTATAAACTACAGATGAAATTTAGTAATATGATGTTATACTCTGTGCTTCACAAATATCATCATCAACCATTTGAGCTATTTATCTTTGTAAGTTCAAATAGTTGTATCGAGCTTCTTAATTTAACACCGAACACCTTTAGAACCAAACTAGATAGAAGCTCGTATTGTTAGCTTGTTGAGTTTTGAGTGCGAATCCAAACACAAGTATAAGTGAATCGAGGTGACTTCTAGCCCAAAATGTTTCAATCTGTAAACCTACCATTGCAACTGCTCAAAGGAGGAGTTTGAAGTTTGCAGGCACCAGTCATGCTGGTGGCAAGAGTTTGATTAATGTTGATCCCGTAACTCGAACCCCCGCCGTTAAGCAACGAGCAAAGGCACTGCGGGCTTGATGCGACAACGTTAGAGAGCTGCGTGCAGCATGACGAGGACGGGGCTGACGAATTGCCAGTGATATAATTCAGGCACGGTGACAAGCTCAATATTGTGGTAATGCAGTTTGATTGAGCAGATGCGGTGTTCCATAGCATGGATGTGAGGATGACCATGGCCAGAACTATCTCAGAGACTTTGCAAGAAGCCATTCTCTTAGATCACTAAAGAGAAAAGTCTCAGGAATGCTTTTAAATTTAATGATGTGATGGAGGGGTGTTTAATTATGATCAAGGAAAGAATGTCTGTGAGTAAGGAGGGAAAAGCAGGAAGGGTTTGGGGATTTAAATACCTTGTTTATGAGGAAAAGAACAAATTGAATTAAACACAGATTGGTAAGTTTGGTTGGCCAACTTATAATCTAATTAACTGTACTTAAAGTTGTGTGATGCATGACTCAGCATGCCTTCAAATATAAGCACTGTGACATTTTCCAAGTTTCTTTTCACTTTTAATCGCTCAACTTCACTTTATGGGCCCGTTTGGTAACACCCAAATCAGTTGCATTGGCCGATTCTGCTGAAATTTATGAAGTTCTAACTGACGTGGCTGTATTGACTGATTCTGATGATTTGTGAAATAAATATATTTAAAATAAACTTTATTAACTAATCAAAGAAAAAATTATATGAAAAATAGCTAAAATGTTCCTCTATGGTAACTTCAAGTCTTCAACGTTACTTTTTCTTATTATTACACAATTCAACCCGTCAAATCAAAAGTTACGTGTTTCGTGAAAAAAGTTGGCTGATAAATTTGAAAAGCCACAAATCGGTTACCAAACGGGCTCTATATGTGTATCATTTTATATAGTTTTCCAAATTTTCGTTTTCATTTTTTTTGCCACATTCAACATTGCTTTCACAAATTGACTTTTAATTTCTGTAAAATATATAGCTGAGGGAGAACTTTTCCGAGGGAGAACGGGACTATAATGCATAAACAAAGCATTTGGCAGGATAATCAATCCTTTAACAGTTCAAACACTTGTTAAACTTTAACGAAAAGCTATATTTGTGGATTATGATCAAAATTTTATCGATTTTTTTGAGACTTAGTCGATAGTTGAGCTTTAGTTTGGCAGATATGGGTGAACATGTGGGACCTCTCTGACCATTGACCAACCTAGCCAAATGGTTGGTTTGTAAAAAAGGATGACACCTCATCCGTGAGGGTCCCCAACCTCGACCGGACGGTACGTTGGGAGAATGTAAATTGGACTATAATCCCAATTTGATAGATAGAGAGTGAGATTCTGTCCCCGGTACTTGCAGATGCCCTATACATTTTTAGCATAGTAATCTCTCATCGCAGTTGGCGGGATTCGAATCCGGGACCTAACCCTTGTGATACTCTCTTGCTACCAGTTGATCTACGCCCGGTAAAAAAAATGGTTGGTTTGAAAAACTCTGACAAGGCGTTTAACTTTTAAGTAATAAAGTTGTAGTAAGAGAACACCTTGACAGATTTGGAGCAGTATAACCGTCCCAACCAACATTTGACTAAATCTTTCAATCGAAACCAAAGATTTGAAAAGAAGAAGATTGACCGGGCCAACATATTTTACGTAATGTAATACTAAAAATTTACATTACCTCGTCCCTTAAATAAATGAAACATTCAACTTTTCACATTTTGAAAAATTTACAATTAAAAAAATTTAACAATATTCTTTTCAAAAAATATTACTACCTAATACTACCTCCGTCCCTTAAAACTTTGCAAAAGTTGACCGGTACGGAGAATAATAAAGTAAAAACAGTGTGGTTGAAGTTTGTGCAGAGGGGAGAGAAATAACAGAAATCACAAAATAATTGATTAAAAGGGAAAGTGATAAAGTTTTTTGGAACGTCCAAAAACGAAAGATGACAAAGTTTTAAGGGATGAAAGGAGTACATTAATTAATAAAACATAGTCATAATGGAACACATGAATAGTGTAAAATTCGACACGTTGCATTAACTTAAGAACGGAGGTAGTAATAACTTTAAATATTTATTATCAAATCCACCCCATTTGTGACTTCTCATCCATTTAATTACAAGTGCAATACAATAATTTCAAAAGACATTTTTTGTTAAACATTGCTATATCCAAACTCAACTTAAAAAACTGACTACTTTTACATAGTACGAAAATGTGAGAGTAAAAAAAAGTAAATATATAAATGTCCCATTATCAATTTATTATGTCTCTCACAATTTTATTATATCAATGCTACTTTCGACATATTTTTGAGGAATGCGTCATTGTCAATAACAAAAATATTTTCCAGTAACTTTTCCAGTGAATTTTTAAAATAGAAAAAAAAGAATTTTGTTGCTTGAAATTAATAAAACTCTTCCATTCCCAAAACAATTATCTAGATTATGAGCCGCACTACCCTCTAGGTGTCCATTTTGCCTCCACCATTCTGCTTATATTTGCTTTATATTCATGTTCATTTTCATTTTTCAAGCAAGATATGTGATAGAGCAGACACATTCCACCACAATATAGATTCAGTACATAGACTGTAAAATCTGTGAACCACATGAAGAAGAAGGAAATACTTGTACAAAAGAAAGGGTTTAATGCAACAAATCCCCTTGTAAAATATAAATTCGGCGCATCGGTCCCTGTGATTTAAAAAATGTGTCAAACCCCCTGTGTTTTAATTATTCATGCACAAAACTCCCTACATGAACAAATTTTACAATTTTGAAATCACTTTCTTAATAATATGATTGAATATGCAAGTAACTTTGTCAAAATTTCTAAATTATACAAGAAAAGTAATCACTTTTCATTTATTTGGCAATTAAAGTTGTTCATAGAAGGGGTTTTGCGCATGCATAACTATAACACAAGGGGGTTTGACGCATTTTTTAAATCAAAATGGACTAATGCGCCGAATTCCTCCTGGCGCACGTTATATTCCTCCACCAATCTGTTAATTCCCGTCTTCTCTTCTTTTACTTCTAATTTACTTAATTCAGTCTTTTGCACTCTTCTTATTTCTTCTAGTGTAAACCTTAGAAAAATCCCTATTACGATTTATGCTTAGTCCCAGGGTTCCTACCATCTCTCCCTCCTTGAAAAATCACATTGTCCTCAAGGTGAAAGCTAGGAAAGAGCATCTTGAGTTGTTACAATTCCTCAGCTCCCATAAATTTTCAAATTCTTGTAAGTTGTTCCAGCGAACCAAGATTTCAGTGATTCCTTTGATTGTGCTTGTAGTTCCCATTCTTCACTCATACACTTAGGAAGGGGTTGGCAAGGGATGTTGGCCGCCAAAGATTTGTTTAGTAAATAAATATGGGAGACAAGGTGCACAAAGGTCACATGATTGATTTTCTCCACTATTTCAAAAGGACCCTAATATAGAGCACTCAAATTCTAGTTGATCCTTCTTGACAAACTCCTTAACTTGTAGGGTTGTATTTTCATATACACCTTGTTCCCACCTCGAGTTGCATGTCCCCCCTCTTTTTGTTAGCCTGCTACCTCATTTGATTCTGTGCTAAGGCCAAATTCTTTTTCCAACTTTGTTAGCATGTCATTTCTTTCACCAATTAGCTTGGTCACTTCCTCCACTACAGTCAATGTAGCATCTCCCTTGATTAAAGTGGGAGGGTCTTGACCATATAGGGCCTTGAAAGGTGTACTTTTAGGGCATCACGATAATTGGTGTTATACCAATATTCAGCCCAAGGAAGTCACCTCGGTCACTTCTTTGACTTGTTCTCAGTAGTGCATCTTAAATATATTTCCACATGTATTCACCACTTCGGTTTGTCCATCAGTCTGGGGATGGCAGGCCGTACTATACTTCAACTAAGCCCTAGCCATTATGAATAATTCTAACAAAGAATAACCCAGGCTCATGAATATACTGTCCCTAATAGATTCTATAGTTTTCGGAAACCCATGGAGCCTAACCACTTCAGCCACCTCCTAGGCTGTGTATGGGTGAGCTAAAGCTATGAAGTGAGTAAACTTTCGTAATCTATCCACTACAACTAGGCCTTGTCCATTGCTTTAGGTAGACTCCCTATGAAGTCCATGCTGATGTATGTCCATAGTTGTTGTGGAATTGATAATGGTTGTAACAAATCGATTGACCTTAATGCTTGATATTTATTCCTTTGGCGAACTTCACATCCCTTTACATATTTCTGGAAGGCAGCTCTCATCCCCTCTTAGTAAAAGATACTGGTAATTCTCTTTAGGGCTCGGGGATGGCCTACATGTCATCCTATGGCTAAGTCATGAAATTCTTTAAGGATTGTGATGATTCTTTGTGAATATCCTTAGGAATGATCAACTTATCGAGGAAGTACAATAACCCTGCTCTCACACAAAACAATGGATGAGCATCAACATGAATTAATACATCTTGTATGATCCGTTGGCATCTCTTATCATTCAATAACTCTTCTTCCAACCCATTTCAATCCTGGCGGGTCACTACTGATAAATAGAGTAAACTTCCTTTTCTAGATAATGCATGAGCTGCCTTGTTCTCACTTCCCTGCTTGTACTTAATAAAAAATTATGAGCCCGTTTGGTAACACTGGAATTGGCTGAATCGGTTGACTCTGCTAAAACTTATGAAGTGGCTAGATTGGCTAATTCTGCTGATTTCTAAAAAAAACTTGTAGTTAAAATATATTTTATTAGTAAAATACAAAAAAATTATATGAAAAATAGCTAAAGTAGTCCTCTGTAGTAACTTCAGCTTATCCAGCTGACGAGCACTTTGTCACGGCGCGTCAAAATAAATTCAATACTAACACTTATACGTAGTATAGCGTAGTAGAGTTCATATCCACAGGGAAAGGAAATAATTCTCTTTTTATGAACTTAATAAATAAAAAGGGGGGTTTTGGGTTTGAATGATTTAAGTTAATTAAGAACTAAGATGAACAACCTATATGTGTTTAATTCAAAGATAAAAAGGACTTGACATTGCTACTTTCCACTTGTTGATATATTTTAGTCGATCATTGTTATATCTATAACTTATTCCCTCTCGAATACTCAATCGGGGAGTATATCCACTTCATCGAGGGTAGTTATTAACAATAACCGTTCATTAATAACCCTTACTATTAATCGAATATAGAACAACGCCTTATACTGATTTAATAGTAGCATTTAATCTTTCTAACTCCTAGATGAAATCAATTGAGATTGATAACCTCAAAACAACGGTTTCGGTTTAACCAACAAAATTAATCCCTCTCAAGTTTATTAACCACGACCGTGCATTAATAAACCGAAGCTACTTACTTGTGAAACCATCAACGATTAACCATTGGTTCGTTGATCGTTTC